GGAAACAGTCAGGGGATCTGTCTAAATGACAGGAGCAGGGATTTAACAGGTACTGTTTCAAGTACCCTACAAACCTCAGGGCGACCCTAGAGGCAGGCTGGCTCGAGAAAAGACTGGAAACCATCACTGCTATGGAGAATGAGGAATCTAGGACTCTGCAATGACTAACTCAGTCTGGGCCTACTCTCAGCATCAAGGAAAAACCTGGAAACCAGGATTTCTTCCAGCCCTGAAGAAGGGATGGGATGGATTCCGTTCTGCCAGGACATCTCTGTGGAAAACGAGGACCAAAGCCACAACCCGAAGGCTCGAGGCCATCCATACAGTTCATCTCGGGACATCTTCTGGCCAGGCCTGGGTAGCTCTGACGTGCCAGATAAGATTAATGCCACTATTGTTGTGTCTCCTGTCTTTAGCTGATCCCCAGGACTTCTCAGTAAATAATTGGGTATCCCAAATGGAGAGTTCTCTAATCTTACTGTGTTTATGCAAAAGAACAAGCCAGGTTTGTTAAACTATCTTGCAACATTTTAAAATGAAGGTGGAGAGAAAACCATGTTTCTGTAACTTGCTTTTTGTAAGAATCAGATTCTAATTCTACAGAGGTGATTGAATAAATGTATCCTAATCTTGATCTAAAAGGTACCCCCTTTGGGGAAATTTAGATAAAACTTAGTTTACTGTCTGTAGGTAAAACAGCCTAATCTGTGAAGGAACTCAATGTTATACATGCTGTCACTAGTCTGATCTGAGCATTGAAAGCCAGAGCTTTACTAGGGTGAAGCTCATCTCAAAGTGCAGAATTCCTTTCCCCCAGTCTGAATTGGCCAAAGTGTCGAGAAAGGCATCTAAACTGGTTAAATTAGAGTAGATTAATATCTAGTTCTAAAATACTGTGAATTTTCTTTCTATACTTTATTGCATCTCATTTTCTGTGAACAGTCATTTGGAGAGAACAAGAATATTATCAGCTCTTAATTTCTGTTGCATCATGGGATTAACAACTCCTGGACCAATGCAATGGAATATTATTAAAGGGTTATGTTTTAACACTAGTGAGAACCATCTTCCATGGGGAGGAACTGAACAGCAAGTAAGGTAGAAGTAATTCAGAACTGTGCTTTCTGTGCCATTAATGAACCTAGTGGAAATTCTGAGCCTCCTTTCCTAACACCTGTTCAGCATCAAGGAACTTAGAGGTGAATCGGCAGCTTGACCTTATACAAATGATCAAACGTTCATATATTCAAGGTATAAATATCTGTTGGTTCTCATTGATAGCTTCAGTGTATGGGCAGAAGCTTTTCCAATCTGCACTGAGAAAGCCAGAGAATGGCTTGGTGTTTCTGTGTCCATTAGAAAAATCTGAACACAGGAAGTCATATTATCAACCAAACCTGTTTGTAGAGTTAATCCTTTTCATTGTTTTAATGATAGAGATGGGTATGGCATTATGTTGCTTTGGTTTCTGTTGTTTTAACTCTTTTTAAGACCTCATCGAGAAATCTCTCACATCCCTGTCCGAGATAGTCTCCCAAAACCTGAGAGGACTTGGCCTTCGACCTGTTGTTCCTCAAGAACAGAGGGCTCTGCTCTGATCTGGTGGAGGGATGCTGTTTCTACGCAGACCACACTGAGGTTGTCAGAGACTCTATAGCCAAGCTACGGGAAGGCCTTGAACGACGTTGGAGAAGCCTGGGAGAATTGGTTTGAGTCTTGAAGATCCTCCTAATTCTGGGCAACAATACCGGACTCTACCCACTGAGGAAAGCTACTCTTAACCACGGGTCCTTGAATTCTGCCCCGACCCCCCCACGATCTCTAGGATTAGAGATGCTCATGAAAAGAAGTGGGGAATGAAAGAATCCATATTAGGGCATCAAATTTTTGTGTACTTCAGCTAACTTGCAACATTGCTTTCTGTAAAACTGCTTGGCTGCTTTGCACCTGGGGGAGAGGGGACTTGGAAAGTGAACAGGGCATAACTTCTTTCTAAACCAAGTGTGACAGGATTCAGGTGTATTTACTGTTCCTGAAATGTATTGTCTCAGTAAAGTACCCTGCAGATTTGGGTAAAGGATAACTCAGGATGCAGGTGGTTGGGGGAAATTGCCCTTTCCTGGAATGTATTGTCTCACTAAAGCACCCTGCAGACTTGGGTAACTCAAGAGGATGGTCAAGGGAGATTACCTAAGGCTTAATGATTCCAGCTATAACTTTGCTTGTGCTGACAATCGATGTACGTAAATGCTGATCTTTGAATCTATAGGCTAAGGAGTGAGGTACTTTTAAATGGATTGGTTAAGAAAGCATATGTTGTTACAAATCTATTGGCTATGAAATGCGCGGGCTTTGCTGTAACGGCCAGTGAAGGCCTATATAAGATCCCCTTTGAGGAAGTTCGGGGCTCTCTCAGCCACTGCCCATTTTTGGGGTATGCTGCGGAGCCCCAGCATGCTGGTCTAAATAAACCCCGTTTTTACTCCTGCAGGAATTGTGTCTATCTGGTCTCTCCGTGCCTCCCAGGGCTAGGGAACTCCTGATCGCAACAGTCTCCTGTCCACACTTTCCCCTCTCCTTTCTTGATACATCTGACTAAAGCTTGTTAATTTTATTGATCTTTTCAAAGAAACAGATTCTAGTTTCATTTATTTCATATACTACCTTGTTATTCCTATTTCATTGATCCATGCCATTAATTTTATTGTAAATATAGTTTCTGTTGCATTATCTAAGTCTTGATATATTGTATTTCAATCTTCCTTTATTTCAAAATATTTTCTACTGTCTGCTTTATTGACACTTTGGTTATTTAAGAATATACTGTTTAATACTCACACAATTGTGAATTCCTGGAATTTCCTTCAGTTATTAGTTTTTTTTTTGCTTGTTTGTTTGGGGCTACACCCTGTGATTCTCAGGATTAACTCCAGTCTCTGCATTCAGTAGTCACTCTTGGCAGGGATGGGGGACTATTTGGGTGTGGGACTGTAGGATAACACTGTTCTGTCCTTCCTGCATAGCCTCAGGAATAGATGATAGTTTATTGGACAGAGGAAAAGAGAAAAACACCTTAAGGAGATATTTTGCCTGGAGCAGTCAGGAAGGGCTTTAGAATACCTTTTAGGTGGGCCCTCAGGAAGGGCTTTCTTATGTTGATTTGGCTACCTGACTGGGTGGAGTGTCAGCCTAGACTAGAGTTGAGTGGGAGACAAGAGAGGAGAGAGACAAGGGAGCTGGAGAAAGAGAGAGCAGGGCTGCAAGATGGACCACAGAGAGACTAGCAAGGAGAACATGTGCTTGAGAGAACCTAGGCCCTCCATAACATAAATTTCTTCTATGCGATAAACTTCCTTGTAATAAACTGCTACAAAGATCAATTGGCCTGGCTCTCGTCTCTTCCTTCATCTGCCCTTGGCCAATAGCTGTCCGATCCAGGCCACACACAGCAGCTCTAGGGCACCGAACGCAGGCAGTAAGATAGAGCCGTCCAGAGAGCCGGTGAACACACAACCTTCAGCATCCATAGTTTTTTACATGGGACCACACTGGGTAGGTGGAATACAAGGCAAGTACCCTGCCACTGGTCTATCTCTAGTACCCACTTGTTGATTTTTAACACAATCCCATTGTGATCACAATGGGATTGTGTATATATATATTCCAAGCTTGCATAATTTTTGTTGGTTTGAACTTACTGTGTTTCTTTTCTATGATGAGCATATAATATCTCCTGATAAACATTTCATTTACATTTGAGAAGAATGTCTATTGTGTTTTAATAGACGGTTGTTATATCTAGCTATTTTATAGTGTTGTTCAAATCTAACTTTATATGGATTTTTAAATTTGCTTTGTTTTGTTTGTTGTAGGTTTGCTTTTCAGTGCAATTCTGTGGCTTGTTTTTTTGCTTTTGGGGTCGGGGGCACTTGAAAACTGCATGCTCTGGAGAAGTGGGAACCTCTCCCAGTAATACTACGCTAACTGGTGGTTCCACGATGGTGTGCTGAGGTCCTACAGTGCCTGAGACTGCCAAGGTCGCTTTGGTAGTGCTCTGGGGTCTCTCTGGTACCCGGGATGGAGTCTGGTCAGATGGTTGCCAGCTGTGCCCCCAAATCTCTGTGATCTTTCTTGCCCCTTGTCTAATTTTTATACTCATTCTAAAAGCTGTGGTGTTGAAGTATCCAATTTTTATTGTTGAGTTGTCTGTTTCTCCCTTCAATTCTATTAATTCAATTTCTGAGCTTCCTTGTTATTTTTCTTTAACACACCCAAAAGTTTTAATGGAATTATGTTCCTACATAAACATGATGAGAGAAGGGCAGGTGGGACTATTTTTTTCTGGACTCAAATATTGATTTGAGTCATGTGAATAGTAGAAGTTTCTTTGAAGAATTGGGGCTGAGGCTTAAATCTCATGCAAGGACTAGTATCTTTTACTGAAATTGGACACACTGCTGCAGCATTGTTATATTACTTGCTGGAATAGATACCATGCTAGAAATTCAAGGTCTCGTCTCGGTGACAGCTAAGCACCAATTATGCTGAGGCAAATGCCTACGTCCTACCCCTCCCTCCTTTTCTTCCACGCGAATTGCCTCTGGGAAGCAAGTCATGAGAAACAATAGGAGTGCAGGAATGCTCTGATGTTGACCTTTGTGTCTGTTAATCTTTGTCTTCTCTTTGTCAGAGACAAATTCATAATTAAACTAGATAGAAGAAGCCTTTCCTGGGCCTCAGGATTAGGCTCCCTTTCCCTTTTCCAAATCTAGAATTTCTATCTCAACTCCCGTTCCACCTACCTTCCCTCAACTCTGATCCTCCCACCTCTCTAACAGTAGGAAAAAGCAGGAAGTGTTTTCCATGACATTTCTTTGTGACATGATGGGACACGTAGATCAATGGGGGGAAAACCCCAGGGGAGGACACGCCTTTTGTGTACATTCCCAATATTTGCTATAAGTAGTAGGTCCAGGCTGCTATCAAGCATCACTCCGAGGGCACTGAGTACGCAGCACTGAGCAGATCTGTTCTTTGAACTGAGCAGGATGTGCAGTACCAAGAATTTGCTCCTGACTGCTTTGTTCTCAGTGCTGCTACTGCAGTTCGGCAGCCTGTCAGCAGGTAAGTGTTACTCTGTGTTAATACTGGAGGTAGAACTCTTCATTTTCCTTGTAGTCTTGTGGTCTTCTTGGGTTCTTTAAGAGATGGCAGCCAGTTGAAAAGTAATGGGAGTTGTCTGCTCTCTGATTAGCCGGAGAGGGCTAAATTACTGCTGTTTTTCAGGATTTCCTCTCTGCTACCAGTATTATGAGATAACAGGGCTGGGGAACTTTTAAGAACCCTACGTCTCAAAACAAGACCAGAGGTCTCATACTGACATGATGCATACTGTTCCACATTATAAGAGATTTACATCTTTCTGAAATATAGGCAATACTTCTTCCAACTTTCTCACCTCCTAACTGTTAAAATTCAAAAACTCCTTCTTTAGTGGATGGTAATGGCACCTGACTTCATTATCTTTGCAAGACTTTGGGGACATTGCCAACTTTGAGATAACATCAGAAGGGAATGTTCCGGTATTGCTTTATTGGACTGTACATAATTTCAGCGGCGGCTACATTTCTTAAAATGCATATGTTGAAGTTCATGTTTGTGTTTGTGTTTTTTTTAGCAGTGGTGGTGGAGGGAGTGGTTGCGAACACCTAGTGATGTTCAAGGGATTATTCCTTAGCTTTATGCTGGGCAGTGACTCATGGTTGCTCTCAGAGCATCCTATGTGGAGCTGGGTACCAAACTGGGGTTCACTGAATGCTAAGTAAGCTCCTTATGCCCTGCCCTATATCTCCAGCCCACACATGCTAAAATTTTATGAACAAAATAAAAAAATTGTCATTCACTAATTTATAATTTCAAAGTGCTTCAGTTGTGGCTACTGTAAGCAAATATTATAATTCACTTTTTTTGTTGTTGTTATTGTTGACAACTTTAGAAGGCTATACAATTTTCTTCAAAATCTCATATTCTTAAGATACAGAGTGCACTGGAACAAAATACTGTTACTTTGTGTTTCTCGTAGAAAATGTGATTGGAAGCCATGTGCTTCTAATACATTGACTGAGCAGAATATCTCAATTTGGACTATTTTTCAAGAGAACTGGACACGAAATTGGATTTTAAAGATTTTGGAACTGTTTCTCTAAACATTTCATCACATAAACGAGATTCACCAGGTTTTTTCTCATTGTTTAGTAATTCCCAATATCCATCACAGAGTAAGTTCATGTATTCATGTATTCATTCTCAATATTTTTATTTCCTTTTAGCAGTCAGCATCTATGACTGTTGCCTCCAATACACAGCACGTATATGGCACCCTAAGAATCTGGTGGGGTTTGTACTACAGCAGTCCAAAGAGGTTTGTGACATCGATGCCGTCATGTAAGTCTTTCATTCATTTCAATTAAATAGCATCAAGATTGCTTGGGAATTTCAGATAATATATAGATGCTATATAACCACCAGCAGCAAAATAAAATTATAAAATTGAAACCTTATCCTTGCAAAAGCATTGAACTTGCAGAGAAAGAAGCAAATAATCATTTTATTTCTTTGTATCAAGCTTTGTCAGAAGCATTTATTTGCACATTATTTTACTGTTGAGGCTAAAATGTCTACTTTGAAAAGAAATGAAAGATTTCAATTGCACAATTAACTTTTTTTTTGGTAAAAATTCTACTAAAGTTCTTTTTAACCTAAATTCAATTTTTAGTTTTTTCACAAAGAAAAAAAGAGCTATATGCGCAGACCCGAAGAAGGCTTGGGTAAAAGAAGCAATGCGTGTCCTCAGGTATGGAATTTTCACAATTGTCTAACTTTACTGATATTTGAACCAAAAGCAGTGTGCAGACTGGTGTAACACAGGCTTGCTGCAATTCTTTAACTTAAGTGTCATAATATTTGAAGAGAAAAAATTTAGGTCAGAAAATGGGAACTAAGATTATTTTTTCACTTATAGATATTTTATTATAATTATTATTATTATTAATTTTCACTGTAGAGGCTTTTCCATGATATATTAGATTCATCTATGCAATTGATAGCTATTGGCTACTTGATTCTCTTTGCAACGATGCCTCCTGACTAAATAGTTTGCAGACAACAGAACATTTGGCTATTTGTGAAAAATTGGAAAATAGGGCCAGAGACATAATGCAGGAGGTAAGGTCCTTGCCAAGCACAGGGCTGATTCCTGTTCAATCTTCAGCACTGAGGGAAGCATAAAAGACTCTGCCTATGTGGTCTACCTCAGAATCCATTAAAATGAAAAATGGGAAATTGTCAGTTAAGGAAAACACCAGGTTGTGATTTGAATGGATAGCGGAGAGTAATAGAAGTTACATGGCGCCATTAGCCAGTTGTATTAGTTGAGCACTGTCTATTTTCTCTGAACACTGATGTCCTCATGTGAACTGCTTATAATTTTGGGCTGAGATTAGGGAATGAGACGTATTCTATGTATCAAAACAGTTTCTGTCACCCATTAATTCTTCCTTGCTTCTTCTCTTTCTTTCTTTTTCTCCTTATAGTGAAGAAAGTAAAAATACATAAATATGGATGCCGTCCAGAGAGGAATTGGACACAGCTCAGTAAAGGAGAGAAAGCTGTTGGAATTTGTCCTCCACTAGCACATCACTGAAAATTTAGCTTGTCTCTGATTTGTGTCTCATTGGGCTTGTCCAGTTAATGATGTTGATTCATATTGCATCATAGTTTACTTTGTTAAGCACTTTGAGAGTCAAACTTTATTCTATGTTGTTATTTATATCTGTGGGTTTATTTGTGTTTTTCTATTTAATACTAGTTTTTCATAAACTATTTGGTTTATTATAAAGACATGCTAATGTCTGGAGGAAGGAGATTATATAAACTTTCTTATAAATAGAAACTTCTTTCAATATTATTTGGCTTTCTTGTGCTTTCATATGTTTATTTCCAAAATTATTGTAATCACTTTGTTGTACTAGTGGAAAAGAATAACAAAAATAATAAATACTAAATATTAAAGAACCAAAATTGTTTGTTGGTTGAATTATGTACCAATTATTAAGGTATACATTATGCATAAGGAATAAAATACAATTTTATTAAAAATTTAATTTTAATTAATTTTTGTCTAGATTCCCCTAGAGTCCCCTTTTATCTCTACTTGTTATGATCTTACACTTGATTTTTATGAATTATAATGAAATGATTTTATTCTTTTATTAATTGTCAAACTCAAGTCAGAAATATACTGTATCTGAGACCCATAACTCAGTGTTTATTAAAAGGTATATGTGTATATATTTAAATTTACATTCATACACTTAATGACTATGGGAACACAAACCCTGTTTAGAAATATATTTTGAGGAATCTCTTAGTCTATCATTCTTGAGCCAGGATTCAGGAAAGGGCATCTCCACAAAGGAGCATTTTCTTACCTCAAAAGTATCTTGCTAATTCATCTTTAAGCTGTTTTTAGAAGGAAAACAACTCCAGAAAGTTCCTAGAGACTAATAATCACACTAGCCTTAGATGAAATTTCAAGCAATGAAACCTAGAAGGAACCAGAAATAAAACAAAAGAATTCTAGTAGTTTTATTATTGTCACAATGTCCATGACCAAAGTCATGGAGGTCTTCAAAACACTACTCTGGAAGTCTACCGCATATTCTAAAGGCCTCAGAGGGTAACTGGAGTCAGGTACATTGATGATACAAAGTGAAAACCAAACATGTAAATACAAAAAGCAGGGCAAAGGTGGATCATTTGAGGTGGGGCCACTGTTCATGGTTTAACAAGTCCCAAAGGCATCTCTGTGCCCAAGAATAAATGTACTGAATCATTAGGGAAAGTATGCTCAATATCCTTTCTGAGTGTTCATCAAACATGGGTTGTACTAGGCAGGAGGCCAAGTAAAGTTTGAAATGCCAGGAGATAAAGCTATGACTTAGTTCCTTGCTCTCAGGGATCCAGGGTAGAGTAGTGCTGGTGAGAGGAAGGCGTGGGAACAAGGCGTGGGAATAAATAGCATCATAGGGTTCTACAGGGCTTCAGTAGGATGACTTCCGGAGGGGGGATATATTCAGATGAAACCTATTAAATATATAAAATAAAAAATAAAGGCCCTCCCGTTGTTCATCGATTTGCTCGAGCGGGCCCAGTAACATCTCCATTGGACACTTTGTTGTTACTGTGTTTGGCATATCGAATACGTCGCGGGGAGCTTGCCAGGCTCTGCTGTGCGGGCAAGATACTCTCGGTAGCTTGCTGGGCTCTGCGAGGGGGCGGAGGAATCGAACTCGGGTCAGCCATGTTGGCTGCAAAATAGCACAGAAAACAATATTTGATGATAAAGGGATAGTAGGTGTTATCCAGGAGAAAAGGAAGAAAGGGGAGTGTTTGAAAATATCTGGAGGCATATTTTAGTTGCACAAAATCTGAAGGTGGTGTACTACATTGGCATTTAGTGGGTTGGAGATGGGGATGCTAAACCCATCAGGAATGCAGAGGTTAGTCCTCTGCAATGAATAATAATTGTCCTACCTAAGACATCTATGACACCACTAGTTAAGCCATCCTATAAAAAAGAGGATATGTGTTGGGTGGAAGTGGGGACAGAAATGATGCAGTTGCAGATAAAGTGAAAATGTCAACTAATTACAGTGATTTTTAACTTGGACATGAAAATATTGGGGATCCAATAAATTTTTCAAAACAGCAAGAAAGGGAGATGACCCCCAGATGGAAGCTATGGTACCAGAGACCCCTGCAACAAGGTGAGAGATGGTGACACTCCAGCTAAAGTCAAAGCAAAATGAAAGATGAAGAAAGGTGGGTTTGAGATTGCAGAGAATCATTCTAGAAGCCCTTTTCTTTTTTGTTTTTTACATTTAAAAATTTTATTTTCGTAAAGGTGTTCACAATGATTGGTTACATTCAATATTTCAACACCAATCCCGCCACCATTACACCTTCCCACCATCATTACTTCACATTTTCCAACCACCACTCAAGGCTTCCGCACGGGCAGATGCTAATAATTTATTTTGTATTGCTTTCTTATGCATAGTATGAGATGTCTGTAAGGGTCTATCTCATAGTGATTCAACAAAAAGGCAAAAAAAAAAATAGTATGAGATATCACGCAGTCCCGAAATCAATTTTAAATAATTGGGGTTAGGAGACATCTCTGCAGTGAGCTGCTTGGTTTTGAGATTCATTTGTGAGTCTCTGGATCATGGCCATTAATGTGCTTTAATGGTACCCGGAGGCAGTTCATGGGCGTGACAGCCAGGACCCTGGAAGTTCAGGAAGATGGGGAGGGACCACCTAGTCCCGGCCCCTTGAGGCCTAGAAGTCCTTTTCCCAAGTGTCACTGATCACTCTTTCTGGAAACAGCACACTCTAAGAATGTTTCTATCAGATGGACTTTTTTTTTTTAAAAAAAAGACATTGCTTTCTTGCTTTCTTTCTTTCTTTCTTTCTTTCTTTCTTTCTTTCTTTCTTTCTTTCTGCATTGCTTCTTGGGTCACACCTGGAGATGCACAGGGGTTACTCCTGGCTCTGCACTCAGGAGTTACTCCTGGCGGTGTTCAGGGGACCATATGGGATGCTGGGAATCGAACCCGGGCCGACCGCATGCAAGGCAAACGTCCTACCCATTGTGTTATTTCTCCAGCCCTCTATGAGATGGACTTTGGAAGTCTCACCAGGGAAGCCTCACAGAGAAATAGATGTAGCACATTTCATCAACACTCTGTTGATGACCTGAATATTTAAGGACCAGGAGTACTTGTTGGCTGAGTTTCTGGAGACCTGAAATTTCCAGACTAGAATAACAATATATTAGTCAACATTTTAATTTTTTAACTCCAGTGTCAATAGCATGGGCATAAGCACTTGAGTAAATTAATATGCTTCCCCCCTCCCCTCCCACACTATTTAATATTTAAGTCATTGATCTAAATATGTTCTTGGATTGGAAAGCTTTCTCCCAACTCAGTTCTGTTTCTTTTATAAGTCATTTTGTAAAATGTAAATATTTCAGTTTAATTTTAAATAGAAATATTCTTTGTATATAATAATAATAAACTCTTAAAAATACAGCTTGATAAACTTTTGCATATGCAAATATCTGGAGCAGCTCTGGTATAGTCAATGTATTAAATCTTTTAAGTCCTCTATGGCTCCTTTCTTCCCCTGATGTTTATAAACCCCAGGGTAAGAATTCTTCTGATCTATTTTATTGCAAATTAATTTTTCATTGTATTGATTTTATTTAAATTGATCTAAACATAATATATTTATTGCCATAAGACTCCTTTAAATTTATGTTAAATCTCACATGCAATTCAAGAGTTTCCATTCTATCAGGGGACTCCCAAGTTATTGTCAGGAGACCTATTCTCAGGGTTATTTCCAGTCATATTCAGCCACCAGGGATGAACAATTCATTGCTAGGAGAAAATGCTTCTTATTTCCTGCTATTCAGGGGACAACCAAGATCATCCCCAAGTAATTTCAGGGACAGTGCAATGATAAGGATCAGTTGAGGTCCCTGACCCCTTTACTATGCCTTGCATAGGGGCTTTCATTCTCCTATGAGGGGGGTGGAGGTGGTTCAAACCCTTCAGTGCTTAGGGCTTAATCTTCACTCTGTATTCTAAGATAATTCATGGAAGTGCTCAGGGGACCATATGTGATGCTAGAGATCAAATATGGGTCGACTGCATACAAAATTAGTGCAAGAGTCCCTGTCCTTTTATCTCTCTAATCTAAGAGTTTCTATTCTTAAATTCAAACAAAAGTAAAGAATCAAAGGTCTCTTTATATTGGTCATTTCAGAAGTAAGTATACAGAACAACTTTTACTTTCTCTTTGTTTTATAGTCATTTGTACAGACTACATAAGAACATAGTTTACCAGCACTAACTTGTAAATTTATGACTTGCAGTGGAGGAAATGGAAAGACTTTTCCTGCATGGTTCTGCTTTCTTAGTAAAAAAACCCATTGTTTTTTGGGAGTGATTAAAAAATGCAGACTTGTGACATTGAAATATAAGAGGACGTGTCAGAATAGACAGTAAAGAACTCAGACACACTAAAGAATTGTTCTAAAATATTGGGGATTCACTGAGATTGGAGATAATCAATGGACTCGTCTCCAGTTTGCATAAGCCACATGTCCCAATGCAGACTGGGTATAAAAGCAGAGAATGGTGACCACTTCAACTTGGGCTTTGCTCTGACAGCAGGACAAGAACAATAGGACAATAAGAAGACTATGAACATATAGAGAGAGAGATTGAAATGCTGATTGATTGGATCTAAACCAGAGAAGAGGAGATGACATATGAAAGGAAGAGACAAGGAGAAAATGGGGAAAACCTACAGAATAAAGACTTCAGTGTGGTCAAAGAATAGGAGAGTCATTGGTCAGAGGAGCTGGAAAAGCTTCAGAAGTTAAGGAATAGGTATTTGATGGTGAGGGTAAGGCTTAAATGAAACATAGGACTAGAAGGCCACTATATTGAGTGAGTATCTCTCCCTTATTTACATTAGGTAAAACACAGAAGCAGAATGGCATCTAAATCAGACAGTCTCAGCTAAGGGTCATCTTTTTTATCTATACTACCCAACTCACTCACTTTTCTCCACTTACTATCCCTGAATTATTTGAAAATAATTTCATATATTAAACCAGTTTCTTTTATAAATAAACCAATGTATTAATAGAATTAGAAAAACAGGAACAAGGGATTTCAAGACCAAAACTTATTCTCAATATCACCAAACATCCAATGTTCAAAGTTTCCTGTCAATTTCAAAGAAAGATTGTTTTATGCTATTGACTTGTTTGAATGAGAATCTAAATAAAGCTTTCACCACTTCATTTAAACATTTTTGTCTTTAACCTATGTTTTTTTTCAACTTTACACCAACCCTCTATCTCTTTTTTATTTGAAATCTTTGTTTTGGAAAAACATCATTTGTTATATAGCTTCTTACTGAGTTTTATTGATATTGCAATCCATTTGCTGATTGTAGTGGCATTTAACTTTGCCTGACTCCAATTTAGATATACAAACTGAATTCAAGTTTGATTGAAGGAAAAGGAAAAGACCACTTAACTAGCATTGTGTCAGTTGGGTATAAAGTTTTGCAGAAGAGACCATGGCAAAGATTTGAGAAATATAAAGAACTGATCAGGACTTTCAACTTACATCTAGGGCAGGGAAAATCTATGTGCTGACGACAAACATACGTCCAAGAAGTGAGGAAAAATCATACGGAAATGAAGAAGTATCACGGTAAAAGAACTGGTGTGCTGATTTTATTCCTCTGGTCCCCACGGTCTTGAGAAGAATCTAGTGAAGTGATACTCTTGTCCTAGACAAGAACTCTTGTAAGGTTCCAGCTGAAAAACAGAGGTTGTAAAAGATGTAAAAATTGGGTGTAAAAGATGGAAAGATTTGGGAAGAATAATCAGGGATAGTTAGAGAGCAGAACTGAGGAGTTCAGTTTAAGGTACACAAGAGTATTAGCAAGGAAGCATGAGAATTATGACACATGAATGTAAAGACTGGAATTGTCTTGCTGAAAGTGTTGAAGTTTTATGTCTTTATGATGCTGGGGATCAAACTCAGGCCTCACACATGCAAAACAAGTGTTCTACTGCTGAGCTATGTTTCTGTATTTCTGTCTTTTTTTTTTTTTTTGAATTTCACCCGGCAATGCACAGGGGTTACTCTTGGATTTTCACTCAGAAATTGCTTCTGGCGGTGCTTAGGGGACCATATGTGATGCTGGGGATCGAACCCGGGTCAGCCGTGTGCAAGGGAAATGCCCTACCCACTGCACTATTGCTCAGGCTCCTATGTTTCTGTACTATATCATCTAATTTAAATACAACGTAGGCACCTTTAAACATCCATTCTGTGTTTAGAGACCTATGCGATGGGATCTAATAGAATCACCCAAGATGATAGTGTTTAGAGATATATAAGAAACATTTGGTCTTGATTGACATAAAGCGTTTTTTCCTTTTCTCTTTTTAGTTCTTAGAAATTTTTTTTACTGTACCACCCTCAACGCGCCGGATCTCCGCTGATCTCGGAAGCTAAGCAGGGTCGGGCCTGGTTACTGCTTGGATGGGAGATCGCCTGGGAATACCGGGTGCTGAAATAAGCCTTGCCCGGCTGGAGCGATAGCACAGCGGGTAGGGTGTTCGCCTTACAAGCGGCCAACATAGCCGACCCGAGTTCGATTCCTCTGCCCCTCTTGGAGAGCCTGGCAAGCTACCAAGAGTATTCGATATGCCAGACACAGTAACAACAAAGTCTCCGATGGAGACGTTACTGGGCCCGCTCGAGCAAATCGACGATCAACGGGAGGGCCTTTACCTTTTTTTACTGTTAATTTTATTATTTGAAAATTATTTTGATGTTTCAAGTCCATAATAACATTGTAATGTTATACTTGTAGCATTGCTATACAATGCTCATTACCAGTGTGTAGATCTCACTCTTACTTCTAGGGTCACTATCTTCTCCCTAAAGTCATGCTATTATTAAAAAGGTTCATTTTTTATATTGAATCACTGTTAGGTATATCCTTCCAAAACTGTTCATGATTAGGTTTCAGTCATACAGTATTCCAACACCCGTCCCTCCACCAGTGCATATTTCCTGGCACTAGTGTCCCCAGGTTTCCTCCCATCACTCCCCATTCACCCCTGGCCTACCTCTGTGGCAGACTCTTCTCTCTCTCTCTCTCTCTCTCTCTCTGTCTCTCTCTTCTCTCTTTCTTTCTCACCGACCCTCTCTCTCTCTCTCCTTTTGGGCATTGTGGTTTGCAATATTGATACTGAAAAGTTATCAAGAATACCCGTTACCTACTTTTTTTAACCCTCAGATCTTGTCCAGTGTGATCATTCCCAGTTATTATTTTCAAACTGATCTCTTCTCTATCTTACCTACCCTCCACCCCACACACATTCATGGTTGACCCCAACCATTGACTGGTAAAGAAACTTTGGCACATCTACACAATGGAAATACTAAGCAGCTCTTAGGAAAGAGCGATAGCACAGCGGTAGGGCTTTTGCCTTGCACGCAGCCAACATGGCCGACCTGAGTTCGATTCCTCCGCCCCTCTCGGTGAGCCCCTCAAACTACCGAGAATATCTTCCCTGCACGGCAGAGCCTGGCAAGCTCCCCGTGACGTATTCGATATGCCAAACACAGTAACAACAAAGTCTCCAATGAAGACATTACTGGGCCCGCTCAAGCAAATCAATGAACAACAGGAGGACAGTGACAGTAATAGTGAAGTTTGCCTATAAATGGATGGAAATGGAAAGTATCATGCTGCGTGAAATTATTTAGAAGGAGAGGGGCAGATAGATTAAATGCATTATTTATGAGATATAAAAATATATATAGTAGAGGACAGTGACAGTGACATAGTAGAAGACTAATATCCCTGGCCAGGGAAAACAGGGGCTAGAAAATTTTCATTTTTAATGTCAAAAGAAACTTGTATGGCCTGTTGTTTCTTGGTGATGTTTCCATTGTTTTTTGTTCACTCTTTTTTGTAATTTGTATGCTACTCTGTTATAGTAGCTATCAAAGTAATAAAATAGAACATTATAGACTTTTTGGGATTAATAATCTGAAATATTTTTGAAGTTTTCTTTGTCAGAGAGAAAGCTGCAATTATGATGGCAATATCAAGTCTGATAATGCAAAATTCTTTTTATTCTGCTGGGTATTTATCATGAGATTATAAAGTTTTTTTTATACATTCCTTCAGTCAACAGATTATTTTTGGACCATATACTATTTCCAGGATTGTTTTAGTTGCTGGAAATAAACAGAACAAAGTCCTTGCTTTCATCTGATATGTAGAAGAGGCAGACAATGAGTAACAACCTAGTAAATAAATAATTTAAAAAAAATCAGATAACAGAATAGAGAGCTTCTTTGTATAGATTAAAGCCTCCAACAACAGTCCTTTGTTTTCAACAACTTTCTGATGTTTTCTCAGAAATGAGGCCCAAATCTTCCCCTCTTCCTGGAATAAGGCAAAGAATAAAAATGTGATTAAAGCTATTAAAATATTAGTTTACCTTTCTGAGATAAGGTAAATTTTATGGAGGACTATTGCCTTCATTCTGGGTTTATTCAATCTAAGAGATTGGTCGTGAGTTAAAATCCCAGACTAAAATATTCTATATTCAATTGGCTTTTTTGCCAAATACAGGACTCTAAGTAGGAGTAATGCATTAGGAAAGAAAGTGTCTTAAAGTTGTGACTTGTTGAGTTTTATTATAACCAGATAATCCAGAGAACCTAACTAGTAATTAATTTATTAAGATTAATTGACATAGAATTTGGTGATTTTGCAAGTTAGTATTCTTTCTGTGACTGTGGTGAATGGATGCAGACCAACAATTAGATGCATATGAATAAAGCTTATGCAGTAGTGAAAAACATATAAAAATATTATAGAAAAATGCTCTTGTGCTCCAAGAGGGAACAGCATATTCTCCTCTCCTTGCCAGAATTGAGGACTTAAGGCCTCTTAGGTGAGTCTTCTGAGTGGTGTTGAGGATTTCCTGTGATACTTGGGAAAGGCCCAATGATATGGAGTGGAGTCTATAGTGCTCACTAATGCTGAGTCAACCACATGCAACCCCTGAACTATCTCTCCTGCCTGGAGGTGGTCTTTCAGGAGATAATTAAATGGGACCATAAACTGGACCTTAAACCAAAATGACTGATGACCTCATAGAAGGGGACATTTTGACACAAATATGTGCATGGGGACCCAGGAGTCTTGGAAGAAACCATCCCTGTTCACACCAGATCTTAGATGTTCCATGTCCAGGACAGAGAGAAAAATCATTCATTTTGTTTAAATCTCTCCCTCTTAGATGATTCTAGATCTTCTGATATTTGTCACAGGTAACAAGAAATCCACTCTTAACATGGCACTTGTTTTTATTCAAGATATTCTGTTTCTTCTTTTTTGTCTTTCTTTTTTGCCTTTTTTCCTTCCTTTTTTTCTTGCCTTTCTCCTCCCTCAGTCCCTTCCTCCCCCTCTTTCCATTCACTTCTCTCTCTCTTTCTTTCTCTCTTTCTTTCTTTCTCTCTTTCTTTCTTTCTTTCTTTCTTTCTTTCTTTCTTTCTTTCTTTCTTTCTCTTCCTTCCTTCCTTCCTTCCTTCCTTCCTTCCTTCCTTCCTTCATTCCTTCTCTCTCTCTTTCTTTCTTTCTCTCTTTCTTTCTTTCTTTCTTTCTCTCTCTCTCCCTCCCTCCCTCCCTCCCTCCCTCCCTCCCTTCCCTCCCTCCCTCCCTCCCTCCCTCTTTCTTTCTTTCTTTCTTTCTTTCTTTCTTTCTTTCTTTCTTTCTTTCTTTCTTTCTCTCTTTCTCTCTGTCTCTCTCTCTTTCTTTCTTTACCACAGCTCATTGTGCTTAGGACTTTTTCCTGTTTCTGCGTCTAAGAATCACTCCTGGTGGTGCTTTGGGGAACTTTTTTGGTACTGGAGATCAAATTGAGGTCAGTTACATGCAAGATAAGTGCCCTATTTCTATCCTATCTCACTAGACATGGACAGCCAATTTCTTATGCTAATTCTATGCATCATTTTCTTATCTCTCTTAGCCTTTTTATTGGAGCGGGATATTCTTCATTGAGCAGAACTGCATTGGCAAAACTTCATCACGTTTGTTTTTGCTTTTCTTTTGGGGGGGCACACCCAGCTGTGCTCAGAGCTTACTTCTGGCTCTGCTCTCAGGGATCACTCCTGGAAGGCTCAAGAGACCATATGTGGTGCCAGGTATCAAACCCAGATAGGATGCCTGCAAGGCAAATGCCCAACCTGCTGTACTCTGGCCCCAAGATTTCGTTAAGAATGATCCATCTCACCATAATGAAATCAATTTAATCACACCTCAAGGCATAAACTAATATATATGTTTCTTCCAGGACAAAAAGAAATCATAGGGTATCACTGTGTCCCCATTTTGAGGCTCTGTGGTGGGAGAAGCAGAGTTTTATTTTTCCTTTCTGGTTTAGTGGGCTAGAGCGATAGCACAGTGGGTAGGGCATTTACCTTGCATGTGGTCGACACGGTTTCAATTTCTCCACCCCCGCTGGGAGAGCTGGGCAAGCTACCGAGAGTATCCCGCTTGCACAGGAAAGCCTGGAAAGCTCCTCATGATGTATTTGACATGCCAAAAACAGTAACAAGTCTCACAATGGAGATGTTATTGGTGTCTGCTCCAGCAAATCGATGAACAATGGGAAGACAGTGCTAAAGTGCTACCGTTTTACAGTAGTACCAATCTCATTTTCTTGATGTGTCATTTAACACATGTAGGGTAGAGATTCCAGATGGAATTATCAAGTATCTTCTGTACCCTTAATAAAATCAAGTTCTCAAGCAATTGCAGCAACGACCTCTGACCTGCTCTTATAGGAGAAGCCTTCCTAGATTTGTCAAGCAGGGTGTTGTTGTCTCTGGACCGGATGTTGCATTTCACTCCTGGCAGGTATTTCACTTCCTGTGTTTCCTCCCTAAATACTCCCAGGCTTGAGCTTGCTCTCACGGCAGCCTTTCTCTGCTGTCTCCACCCCACCCAACTCAGGGCTCACCTTGTCCTGACCTGACCAGACCTGCCCCTCCTGGCTCTACAGCCAAGACTGTCTTCTCGACTTGAACAAGTGAAACTTGCCTGCAAATAAGGCGGCTGGAGTGGAAATGTCAGCAAAAGAGAGTTTTCCTTTGCTGAAAAACTCCTTGGAAAACCAAGTGATAAAAAAGTATTTTTCACCTGCAAAGAAAGCTAAAACCAATAGCAACAAAATTTTTACCAGAAAAAAAAAAAACCCTAAATCTCACATTTTAATCTACACTTGAGTGAAGGGAAGAGGCTTGTTTTGAAAACATCTTAAAAGCAAGAAATTGATAAAAGTAAAGGGAAGGGTCAATTTTTTTTGTGGGACTCACAAGCAGCATCAATGGACAGGAAATAAGTGAGTTGAGCATTGGAGTGTGAAC